TGTTAGGAAAACTAGATATCCATATGCAAAAGAACTAAGTTGGATTTTTACCTTACACCATATACAAAAATTAACTCAAACTGGATCAGAGACCTAAATGTAAGAGTTAAAACTATAAAACTCTTAGAAGCTTCAAGACAATGGATTTGGCAGTGATTTCTTAGATATGACACCAAAAGCACAGGCAACCAAAGAAAAATTAAATTGGATTTCATCAAAATTAATAACTGCATTAGAAGACACAATTCAAGGAATGAAAAGACAATCCATAGAATGGGAGAACACTTTTGCAATGCATATATCTGATAAGGGATTAATATCTAGGATGTATAAAGAATTCCTAAAACTCAATCATGAAAACAAACAACCTAGTTAAAAAGTGGGCAAAAGACTTAAATATTTCTGCAAAGAAGATGGATGGACAATAAGCACAGAAGATGCTCAACACCACTAGTCATTAGGGAAACACAAATCAAAACCACAAGGGGACACCACTACACACACATTAGGATGGCTATTAAAAAAAAAAAGAAAAAAGAAAATAACAAGTGTTGGTGAGGATGTGAGAAGTTGGAACACTTGAATATTGAATTACCATGTGACCCAAAAATTCCACTTCTAGGTATATATACCCCAAAGAATTGAAAGCAAGGACTCAAATAGATGCTTGTACACCCATGTTCACTACAGGATTCAGAACAGCCAAGAGGTGGGAGCAGCCCAAGTGTCCATTGACAGATGAGTGGATGAACAAAATAGGATCTATCCCTGCAATGGAACATGAGTCAGCCTTAAAAAGAAGAGATTCTGACACCTGCTACAACGTAGATGAACCTGGAGAACATGGTGCTCAGTGATATAAGTGAGACACAAAGGACAGACCCTGTCTGATCCCACTCCTAGGAGGTCCCTAGAGGAGCCCCATCCACAGAGACAGAAAGTGGGTGGTGGGCACCAGGGGCTGGAGGTTAGTGTTTAATGGGGACAGAGTTTCAGTTTCACGAAATGGAAAGTTCTGGGGATGGATAGTGAGGATGGCTGCATGACATGTGAATGTGCTTAATGCCATTGAAACAGATAGTCAAAATTGGTTAAAATGAGAAATTTTATGTTAGGTTTATTTCACCACAAAAATACCCTCATACGCTATATACTGAAAAAGATGAATTTTACTATGTTAATTTTTAAAAAGTAAATTTAAAAAAAGTAAAGTGGTGCTGGTACTCCTATACCCACTTACACCCACTCTGCACACAGGGGGTCTTCTGGAGCCCTGAGCAAGCCCATTAGCTGGTTAGGCTGTGGGCCTGGACCCAGAAGGCGGGGAGGGGTCAGAATGAAGTCCTTGTGCCACACCAAAACAAACACACAAAAACCACACTTAAGATGGAATATTCTTTGACCATGAGCTTGCTCCTTTGATGATAATGCCCATTTAACTGAGCATCTGCTCTGTACCAGGTCCAGGTGCCAGGTTAGACACGTTTAGGTATACAGTGATGATAAGGCACTTATTAAGTACTTGCTGTGTGCCTGGCACTATCAAAGTGCTTTATACACATGAGCCCAGTTACGTCTCTCACCAACTCTTGAGTTGCGTTCTGTTAATGTTCCAGGTCAACAAAGGGACTGAGGCACAGAGGGACAGTGGGGTTGGTGGTTTCACTGCCTGAGAATCACATCCTGCTTCCCAAAGCCAGCCTGGATTTTTGGGGCTCTGCCAAGTGCCACCAGGGAGAGGAACATACCTACATAGTGAGCCCCCTCTCACCCTGGGACTGAAGGCGTAGTTTAGGGAAGGCGAGACCCAGCCCCAGAGGGCACCTGACTAACACTGCAAGCAGATACTGCAGCCCCTGAGGACTCAGCTCACGTAAGCAGGAGCCCAGGGACCGGCATGGGAAGAAGAGGCTCCCAGGGTCCTGCTGTTTGTGCTCCAGCAGGGGAGGTCCCCTGGGCCGCAAAAGGGCAGACAGGATGAGGATTAGGCATGTTGAACTGCAGCCTGAGAGTTGGGGGGGTCTCAGCTACCCCCAGAACTGGACAGAGGCTGTGGGGAGTCACCCCTCCCTGGTCTGCTATTGCTCAGTGTGGCCCAAAGTGAGGCTGGAGGCTGCTCCAGCAATGTCCCAATGAAAACCAAAGCCACAAACCAGAATGGAGGCAGCTGACAAGTGCTGACAGCATAGCCATACATCAGGACAGTTGATCGAAAGAGAAATGACTTAGCCGGGATCCCCTTTGGACAGGCTGACCACTTGGTCGTGTTCTCAGGTGAAACTGCTACCTGCCTGTGGCCACCCCTTGGGGCCCCTTGACCTGCCCACCTGGGCTCCCTGAGCATCACACTGGGCCTCTGAGGGACTGTGTGGCCCCGGGATAGATCCAGGCCTCAGAGAGTTCTGCTGTAGAGGCCTATAGGAAACAAACAAACTGGGAGGGTGGTCGGGAAAGGCGACATGTTCTAACTGTTAAAAATCCTAATGACGATAAAAGTAGCCGACTGCTGTTGAGTACCACATGCTCAGCATTGTGTAATGCTTGGACCCGCACTAATGTCCCATTGTCAAGAGAATCTGAGGCAGAGAAAGGATGGAATAACCTGGCGACTTAGTAGTAGAAGGATTTGAACCCAAGCAGCTGGGCTACAAACCTGCACGCCGAATCACTGGGCATCTGTCTCTCCCCAGGCAGGCCTGGCATCTCCCCGGGCTCCCTGCCCCACTCCACCTGACTCCTTGTAGGAGGTGCCAGGCAGCCTTTATGGAGAGGCCTGGCATTTGCGTTGTGAAGGTCACATGGAGGTTGAGGGCGGGCACTGGCGTGTGTCTGCCAGGCAGGCGCGTGGTGCCAGGTGACACAGCTGTTGGTGGGGCTCAGTGTGCAAGGAGGGTCTGTATCTGTGTGTCTGCGAGTCTCTGTGCGAGTGACCATGTGCCACACACATGCTGTGACTGCCCTGACTCCCGAGTTGGTATGAGGAGTGTTCCTGCGTGTGGCCGAGTACAGCCAGACATCAGGCACCTGGGTGTGTGTTGCCATGAGGTGTGAGGCCAGGGCTTCTCTGTTCTGTCCCTGAGTCACTGTGACCATAGGTCAGCTGTGGGGTTCTGTGTATCCTCACGAGGAGCCCCATGCCTAGCATAGTAAACAGGTGACCCCAAATGCCTTGTGTGTGGGTATTCTGTACCCATGTGGGAAAGCACGTGTGTTTCTAAGGGGTGTGAAGAGACTGGTGGGTGGCAATAAGAACAAAGTTAGTGTACCCTGAGAATTCTGAGAACCTAAAGGCCACTACCCTGCCCCAGCACTGTCCAGCCAAGTCTAAATACCCCCCAGGAGTTCCTGCAGGAGCCTTCCTCCCCACCTCCACCCCAGACTGGTCTTCAGCCTGGCAGGCCCAGCATGGGAGTGGCGGGTGGGGAGTAAAGTTGGAGGCACCAAGCAGAGCAGAGCTAGAGGGACCTGGCTCAAGTCCAGTGGCCTGGGAGCAGAGCCCAGGTGAAGCAGGACACCCTTATTTACTGCCAGGGTGAGTGCCAGAAGCCCAAGTTTAGGGGCACAAAGAGGGTGAAGGGATTCCATCTTGGATAGGCAGAAAGGGGGCAGGACCCTGCATGCATTTTGGGGGCCACCACCTGCCGGAAGCCCTCAGCAGCACCCAAACGTTAAGGGTCAGGGAAGGGGGTAGGGTTCCAGGCAGACCCTGGAAGCCACTTTGGGGATTCCCCCCAAGGGAGCCTGGGGCTCCCCCCAGAGCAGCCAGAGCCCTCCCTTGGCAAAGGAGGGTACTGGCCACCAGCCACCCACCTGACAGGTCTGCCTGAAGGATGCCAACAGGTGTCCTCATCGCTGAAGGAGAAGTGGACCACCGACTCAGTGCCGACGGGGGGCAGTGCCAGGGCTGTGGGCCGGGGCCGGGCCCGGGGCCCTGTACCAGAGCGCATGGGTGCCAGGCGCCGTCGGGGGCCGCATGGGAAGGGACGTCCAGCGGTGTGGCGTGCACTGCTCGCCCAGCCGGCCCAAGGTGTCTGCCGCAGCTGCGGGCGCCGCCTCCACACCTGTCCTCCCAGTGACACCCCCAGGGACCGCCCCGGGCGCTCAGGCGTCCCCGTGCCCTCAGCGCTGGGGCCCTGAGGAACTCTGTGCACACTTTCCGCCTGCCCTCCTCCCCCAGCGCCTGGAGGGGGCCCCTGAGCTCCGGTTTCCCGGGCTCCAGGCCCGCCCCCCTTGCCTCTGGCACTGTCTCCTCTCTCCCGACCCTGACGTCGAGCTGGGACAGCTGGAGGTCTCTGAACAGTCTCTGCCCCAGAGGGAACCAGACTCGCCTGCCGACTGAGGGGTCCAGTGACAAAAACTCAGGGGAGGGACGACCGATGGGGGGAAGGTGGGGCAGGGGGCCTGTAGGGGATGCAGAAAAGGACAGACAGGACGAGAAACCCAGAGAGAGGCACTGATTCCCCCACCACACACACACCCGACCCCACGCGAGGCCCCCAGAGGCCGCCACCCCTCTTACCCTTCTCTCCCTGCCCCAGGCCTCCCTGAATCCCGACGCTGGGCCTGCGCCCTGTCACTGCAGTGCCCCCTCGCAGTCTGTCTCGCGACCCACGTTCTAGACAAGTGCGTGCGGACAGAGCAGCAAGAGAGGACGAAGCAGAGGACCCTCTCCTGGCTTCGGAGAAGCCCCCAGAGCCGGCCCGTGCCCACCTCCGGGCTGCCAACCTCCAATTCCAAGATAAACGCACACCGGGGAGCCAGACAGGATGTGGCCTCCAGGCTCCTCACCCCCAGGCTTCCCGCCCCCGCGGCCCTCCCCGGGGCTGGCCAGGAAAGGAACTGCCGTTCTCAGAGCCCGGCGCACGCGGTAACATCACCGGGCCGCTTGGAAGGCCACCCCCAGAGGGCAGCGCTGGCCCGTTTCACAGGCCGCTAGACTGAGGCTAACAACACACGTCCCCAGATCACTCTGGGTGGCAGGCAGATTGGCCTCACCCCCCACCCCCGCAGGGCCTGACCGCAGCCTCAAGTCTGCACAGGAAGTGGGAGGGATGGAGTGTTTATTGAGCGCTTACTGCATGCCCTGCCGGCTGTCTCCACGGCAACCTGCCGGGCAAGGATGATTTTTATCTCAGCCTGGTGACGGAAAAGGAAAAGTGAGGCTGGGGAGGGTCAGCTACAAACCCCAGACCTGGGGCGCCCGGCTGACCAGGGCAGACTCGAGACCACGGCCACTGGCGTGCACTTACCCGGCACACGCCTGGCGGCCAAAGTCCTGGAAGCTGCGGAGAAGCCGAAGGCGCCTGCGGAGAGTCGGGGACGGGCTGGCGAAGAAGACGGGCGAGGAGGGCGGCGACCGCGGGCGGCGGGGTGCGCGCGGGGCCGGGGGCTCGGGCAGGAATGCCTCGTCCTCGGCTGCCGCCGCCGCCGCCGGGAAGGCCGCCAGTTGCAGTTCGGGGATGCGGCCCAGGCCGTGCGGCCACGCCATGACCGCGAGGGGCGCGGGGCGGCCCCGCCTTGGCGGGCGTTGGGAAGCAGCGCTGCCCGTCCCGCGCGGCCCGCGCAGGCCGGCCGCCCAGTCCTGGGGCCCACGGGCCCCACCCCTTCAGGCCGCCTCGGCCCTTCCGGCTTCGCGCTGGGGCCGCCCCTGGGGCGGGGCGGGCCTGGGGCGCTCGCACCCCAAAGGGCCCCCGCAGCTCTCACAGCCACCAGAAGCGTCTTTACAAACACCTGAGGTGCCCCCGTGGTGTTGAGATGCCCCACAGACTTCAGGGGCGACCCCAAAGTTCCTCAGACGTCCCCCAAAATCCCACAGAGGGCCACTATACCTTCAATGTTCTTACAAAACCCAGAAGTACCCCCCAAATCCTTGGGTTCCCCACTAAAACCTAGAGGTGCTCTGAGAGGACCCCATAGACTCCAGGACACTCCCATAGCTCCCCAGATGTCCCCTTGTAGTATCTGTATTATTACTGAGACATCCCCCACAAACCCCAAGAATCCCCGGATGCACCCACAAATGCCAGGGATGCTCTGAGCCCATGAAATTCCTTCAGATCCCAGGACCACCACCATGCTTGCACAGATGTCCCCCAAATTCCCTAGAGGACCCTCCCAACACCCATAAGTCATGCGGAGACCCCCAGAGGCACCCCTAGAATTCCCCACACAGAGCATCCCCACAGACCACATAAGAGTCCCCTAAATCCTGGGGTCCCTTACAGACCCCAGGAATGCTCCCAGTTCCTCGGATGTCCCCAAATCCCTGAGGGGCTCCACACATCCCTGAGATGTCCACACAAATTGCGGGAACCCCAATATAACCTCAGGGGTGCCTTCAGACTCAGGGGGTTCCCCCATAACCATGGAGATGCCACCAAAATCCTGGAGTGCCCCACAGGCCCCACGGGCACAACCAGATTCCTCCACAACTCCAAAGATATATACAACTTTAGTCTCTCCAACATGCACCCATAATCCTTAGGGACACCCCCAGAAAGCCCCCACAGCTTGAGACATGCTTTATAACTGAGGTATCCCTAGAAGCTCCGAGTGCACTCACAACTCCTAGACACACCTAAGACTCCCCCAAGTCCTGCCACTCCTTAGAATCTCTGAGGCATCTCTTAGATTTGAGGCCCCCACAACTCACAAGGTGGCCCCAAGAACCCAGCCTCCCCTCAGCATAACAACATACACAGATGGAGACTTTGGATTCTCCAGGGATGGCTCTGTATGCCCACCCACTGTGACTCTGTCAGGGGGGACACATCCTTTTATAGATAAGAATCAGATGAACATTCTTGAACTGTCAGCCTGTGAATACCTTTCTCTCTCTACTGTTGGCCCCGATGTCCTGGGGTCCAGAGTTGAGTGGCCTAGGCTTGAGTCTGGCCTCTGTGACTTCTTAGTCATTTGACCTTGGACCAATCAGTACATTTCATTGAGCCTTGGCTTTCCCACCTGTAAAATGGGTATAATAATACCATGCACCTCATTGATGGACGTGTCAAAGGTTCGTAAAACTGGACGTAGAAAGCACTCTCTGAATGTTACCTACAATTGTTATTATTTGACAAAACATTTATGGAGCGCTCATAATGTGCAAGCCACTGACTGTACTAGCCAGAAGATGCGGATGATGATGGTGGTGGTTGTGGTGGTGGTGGTAGCTAAGCTCAGAATGCTTCCTGTGCATTCAGTGCCTCTAGCTATGATCTCATTTAATGCTCACAGAACACCTGCACTGTGATACTATTGTTGTCCCCATTTTACAGCTGGGAAACCCAAGTCTTGGAGAGAAACAACCTGTTCAAGATCACACAGCCAATGAGTGGCTGAACCAGGCCCTGGACCAATGCTTGCCACCCTCTACAGGCATACTTCAGAGATACTGTGGGCTTGGTTCCAGACCATCACAATTTAGTAAATATCACAGTAAAGCAAATCAAATGAATGTGCTAGTTTTCCAATGCATATAAAAATTGTTTATACTATACTGTAGTCTATTAAGTGTGTAATATCATTATGTCTAAAAAAGTGTATGTACCTTAATTTAAAACTACTTTGTTGCTAAAAACATGCTAACCATTATCTGAGATTTCAGCAAGTCATAAACTTTTTGCAGGTGGAGGGTCTTGCCTTGATGCTGACGGTTGCTGGACTGATCAGGGAGGTGGTGGCTGAAGGCTGGGGGTGGCTGTGGCAATTTCTTAAAGTAAGGCAGCAGTGAAATTTGCCACATTGATGGACCCGTCCTTTCATGAATTATTTCTCTGTAGCGTGTGATGCTGTTTGATAGCATTTTGCCCACAGTAGAATTTCTTTCAAAATTAGAGTCAATCCTCTGAAACCTTGCCACTGCTTTATCAACTAAGTTCATGTAATATTCTAAATCCATTGTCATAATTTCAACATGGCCCTACCTGAGCTTCTGGGTCACCTCCCTGCCTCATTTCCTCCTACTCACCCCCTTCCGCACTCTGCCCCAGCCACACTCTTCCTCCAACACATCAGACACAATTCTACCTCAGGACATTTGCACTGGCTAGTTCCTCTGCTTGTCATCTCTTCACAGAAACTTCAACAGAAGTAGATTCCATCTCAAGAAATCACTTTCTTTGCTCATCCATAAGAAGCAACCAGTGGAGCAGCCACAACATACACATTTATTAAGTTCACCATTGTATATGGGCCATTGTATATTCTGGCTCCCCAAAACAATTACAATAGTAACATCAAAGATCACTGATCACAGATCACCATGATGAATATAATGATAATGAAAAAGTCTGAAAAACTGTGAGAATTACCAAAATGTGACAGACACAAAGGGAGCAAATGCTGTTGGAAAAATAGCACCAATAGACTTGTTTGAGGCAAGATTGCCACACATCTTCAATTTTAGGAATACAGTATCTTTGAAGTGCAATAAAGTGAAGCACAATAAGGTGAGGTATGCTTGTATTTCATTACTGCCTTCCTAGAGAGTAGCCTGTTCCGACATTTCCCCCTCAATTGCCTCTTCCATGAAATGTTAATGCCACTGATAAGCTGTGTAACTACTTATGTACCATGTGTATACTTGGGCTTTACACATTAAAGGAAGATTTTCAAGAACCAATTTTTACTCCCTTGGAGGTGATATCAACTCATCAGGAATGCCAGGTTTCCCAACCTTGACACTATTGATATTTGGCACTGAATAATCCTTTATCTCAGAAGGTAATCCTATGCTGTTAGCAGCAGGAGAGAGAATCCCTGGCCTCTCCCCACTATTTGCCAGCAGCATCCACTTAGACATGACAACTGAAATGTCTCCAGCCATTGCTACATATCCCTTGGGGGGCACAACTGCTCCCAGGTGAGAACTCTTGCTTTAAGCCCACTGAGACCCATGCCCTGGTTACGAGGACCCCTTGTCCAGGTACAAACAGAAAGAATATGCATTCATAAAGTGACTTGCCCAGGGTCACCCAGCCTGGAAGGAACACAGTCGGATTATGGGTCCACTTGTCTAGCTGCAGAGACTGGGATTTTAAGTACTGGTTGACACAGGCCCTGCACAGTTCAGCTTCTTTCCAGCCTAGTGACCTGTGTCCTTCCTAGGAAGTCAGATGTAAACTGAAATCTACATTCAACCCTCACCACGACCCTGGAAGCCCTACCTGAGCTGGGTCACCTCCCTGCCTCATTTTCTCCTACTCACCCCTTTTGCACTCTGCCTCAGCCACACTCTTCCTCCAACACATCGGACACATTCCTACCTCAGGACCTTTGCACTGGCTATTCCCTCTGCTTGTTATCCTCTTCCCTTAGGCTCACTTAGTGTCTTCTCCCACTTCATTTAGGTCTCTGCTGAAATGTCACCTGTTCAAAGAGGCCTTTCCTGACCCCAGGGCCCCTCTTTTCTCCACGTCCCACATCACCATCTGGAATTATCATATTCCTTTACTTGCTATTTCTTCCTCACCCACTAGTCTGAGAACTCCAGAATGGCAGAGACTGGGTTTATTTCATTCTTTATCAGAACCTGAAGATGCCCAGTGAGTGTTTGTGGAACAAATGGCCCTGTTACAGATGCAGAAACTGAGGCTCAGACAGGTGAAATCATTTCTCAAGGTCACACAGCAAGTCCAGGGCAAAGGCTCCGGACTTTGAGCTTTTACCAGTGGGTTTAGATATGCGCCCGCCACCTAAACTCCATCCTTACCCTGCCAATCTGCAGTTCCCCCATGTCGAAACCCTAATTTCCTGCAACCCTGCAATTGAAGAGATTGCAGTCAATCTGTTACTGGTGAGAGGGGGGGCACTCTGGCAGCCAGGACCCAAGTTTGTGGTTTGGGGGATGGATTGGAGAACACCCTCTTTCTCTCTACTGATGTCATTTTAAGGAAGCGCAGTTCTCAAAACACCAGCTCCTGGCTGCCTAGCCCAACGTCAGCCATCTCGGCCTTACCACAACTATGGGGGTGGGCAGATGGTATTCAGCCCTGGTTTACCGATGGGGAAAGGGAGGCGCAGGAGGCAGATCACTGACCCAGTTCACACAGCGAGTCAGCGGGCAGGGCTGCAATCTGAATCTCGCCCACTAGTCTGGAGTCCAGCAGACCTGGTTGTAATCCCAGTTCTGCTCTATGACGGTGGGCAAGTCACTTTGAGACAGGGACCGCGGGTGTAGTCAGAGTAGGGTGAGGGCCTCCGGGAAAAGCAAAGCAGGATATTTGCAGTCAGAGCAATGTAACTACATGTAAGGAAACCCCCCTACCAAAACTCTGTGTTAAACATTAAGCTCTAGTCATTCTTCAGTGAGATCAGTCGGTGTACCCCAGACAAAGAAGAGTAGCACATGTTTATTTTAAGCTAATTATTTATAATCATGTGTAAGATTCACTTTAGCCTGCTAAAAGGCCCAGACCTATGTGCTGTCTTTCCTCCTTCAGATCTAATGAGGTGACTTTGCAAATTGGGCAAACTAATTGAGCCGCAGGCCCAGCCATAACACAGTAAAAGGCAAGAAGGATTCCACCTTAAAGATAAGATTGCACTTAACTTACTCTTTAGCAAACAAGGCCTCAGCCTACCTTGGGGGCTGAGCAGGTGGCCTTGTTGCCTATGCCCCGAGACTAAGATGCTGGTATCTCAGGGAGAAATCAACAGAGCAGGAGGTTACTTGTGTCAAGTTACTTGTAAATATACTAGGACCACTTAGTAAGTCCACACCCCTAAGCTTTTTTCATGTTCTGGAAAAATCCTCATCTGCCTATAAAACCCCTAGACAATGCACTCTTTTGTTCCCTCCTAGCGTGAGCCAGGTGCTCTGTCCTTTCACTTTATCTCTAAATAAAAGCCTGTTCCTTGCTCTCCTACCTTGACTGTTCGTGAAGCTCATTCTTCGGCTTCGTGAACAGGAACCCCGGCATCAACTTGGTCTCTTTCCTCGGCAGGAATGGAAAGCCAAAGATACTGGACATTGAAAACGCAAGTTGGTGTTGGGAGGCCCCGGCAGGGGTATCCGCCTGGGCAAGGGCGCGGAGGTGAGACGGGAACTCAGCGTCCGCAACTTTTCCGCCAAGTTCCTCTCCATCCGCCAGGCGGCCGCCTCCACCGCGCTCGGCTGGAGGCGGAGGATGGGGGTAGCGGCCTGGTTCCAACTCAGGCAGGGCGAGGGCCTCACCCGCAGCCTGCGGTCGGCCGGACTGGCGCCCGCTCTCCGAGACGTTCGATAAACATGAAATAATGATACGGGACGCCGCGATAGTGGCGACGGCAGCGACTTTGCTCTGCGTGGGGACCAGAGTCCCGGGGGCGTGTCCGGACTCGGAGCGCACACTCAGCCTGTTCCTTTGTCGTCGCCCAGCAGAGGGCGCGCGGAGGGCGGGGCACGAGCAGAGACCCGCTCCCAAAACACATCCAGGGATTGGGAGCGCCATGAACACGTGGAGGCGAGGACCCAAGCAGGAGACTGTGCCCAGAGGCCAGGGAGAGACCCCAGTCTGGCTGCCTCCACGCCCTCCTGTGGCCAGGCAGTGTCCCCCTCGGTGGGGAGAGTTTTGGGGGTCGGTACGTTGGCCCCGCCCCCAATTCAGGCAAGTACCCCCACCCCAACCATCACCACCAGTTCTTTTTCTCCATCTGCCTCTTGACAGATCGTGGTGGTGCCATGACTCACCCCAACAGGGCGCCAGGAGCGCGGGCTCATCCATCCCCAGGTCTGGAGGGGGTTGTGGATGCCATCTCAGATGGGGAACAGTACACTCTGAGAGGGGGAGAGTGTTTTCTGTGGTTCAAGTGTGGACCCTGTTTTTGGTTACCGCGCGGACTGCAAGGTGGGTAGTGGCAGAACCCCCTTTCTGGAGCAGCTTTCTGGCCGGCGGGATGCCCATGCAAAAGAGAGAAGTTCCCACTGGAGGCCCTCTCAGTTCCCCCTTTCTCTCTCTGCCCTGGGTTAAGGGGAGGATGCTGGCACCAATGCCCTCCCTCCCACCACAGCCACTGGAGTACGCTATACAGGCCCCACAGTGAAACAGAAACCTGACCGGCTGCCGGGATGTGGTGGAGGTTCCTGTTTTTATTCCCCACCCTGGAAAAGGAGGGTCGACCCAGGCCCCACCTTCTCTTCCCTGAGTCCTGGTCCCTGAGTGACTCTACTGCACATTCACTGTATGTAGTCCTGAACACATCCCCAATCTCACAGAACTCTCAAACTGACCCTTGCCAGGCAATGCCTGTAAGAACCCCACTTTTCAGATGGGGAAACTGAGGCTCAGAGAGGGCAGAACATTTTTGCATCCAACATTTGTGCTAGGACACACAGGCATCAGACAGACCTGTACTGGAATGGCAGCGCTGCCATATCCTGATTGTACAAGCTTGGGCAAGAAAGAGAAGGGGCTTTGTCCCTCTGGGCCTCAGTTTCCCTATCTATCTAATCTCCTGGGGCACCAGGAATGACGACTTGGGGTAAAGTTCCTGGCGTGGAGCCCAAGAGTGAGCCATTATGAGATGGATACCACTAAGCTAATGATGATTATCAGCACGCAGCCACTGTCCCCTGAGCATCAGCACTCTAGAGAACAGGGTAGGGGAATCCCTGGGGCATAAAAGGAAATAGGGCCCAGTTCCTACTGCGCCGCACCCCCGCCTCAGTCTCCCAGGACAGTGGCCTGCACCAGTTTGGCGCACTGCCCCCGTCTCGGCATTTCCTGTTGATTCCAGCTTGTTTTCCTTAAGCGTCTTTCCAGGTCTCTTGGGAAATAGCACGCCATGTGTGCTGGGCCCATGACACTCCCTCCCTGGCGGGGGAGGGATGCTGGACTGGATATGCCCTGAATGGAGGTGGGGGGGGGCGCCTGGGGGCCTGGGGGGCCTGCTGGTCGTCCCCAGAGAGAGCTAGAATGGTAGAGTCATTGCCTAGCAGGGCCTCCCCTGGGAACTCCAGGAGTGAGAAAGCCTTGGTGATGCTCTGAGCAGAGAGGCACCCATGGGGGCCAGCACAGCCCACAGTCAAAGCAGCCAGTCGCACATGTCACTGGAGCACACAAAATCAGATCCTGAGCACCACCAGAGCAGGTACATTTAGAAGGGGCTGGAGCACAGCACACCAAGCAGGTGAGAACACACCCCAAAAGTCAGAGCACTGACTCCGGACAGTGGGCACACACATAGCCTAGAGCCCTCACAGTGTCTCAGTCAGTGTCCCAGGGAACACAGACGGTCCCGCTGACACAGTCACACTGTCCTGGAGTGTACACATCACAGTACTGCCATCACTGCATGTGCTGGGAACACACAGTGTCCTAGGAGCACACACAGTCACTGTTACAATCACAGCCTCCCAGGGGCACACACAATGTCCTGAGAGCACATACAGCCATACTGCCAGTCAGTATTCCAGTGGCACACAGTCAACGCTGTCACAGTCACTGTTCCGGAGGCACACAGAGTCACCCTGCAAAATCACTGCATGCCAGGAGCACCCAAAGTCACTGTCACAATCCTGTCCCAGATGCACAGTCACATAACCACAATCCTGGGAGCACACACACTGTCACAATCACGGTGTCCCTGAAGCACAAAAGCCTCACTGTGCTGGGAGCACACAGTCACCATGTCACAACTATTTTCCTGGAAGTACACACAGTCATGCTGTCTCACTCCCTGCCTCAGATCACACACAGTCCCACTGCCATCGTGACAGGACCCGGAAGCCCAGGCAGAGCAAACAGCCAAGGCAGCCACAGCTGGACGGACCCCCCACAGCTGGACAGAGCCCAACAGCTGCGGCACACTCAGGCCAGTGCAGGCTGCTTTCAGAGCCGGCTGGACTTGCTCCTAACCATCACTATCCCCTCAGGAAGGCAGGGACTCCCACACCCAGCACTAGGGCTGTATACCCCCTGGGCACTGTTCCCTCCCTCTAGGCAGCTCTTGAACCCCAACACTCCTGCCTGGAGAGGGGACTCCAACCCAGCACACAGGCCGCCAACGCCGTGTGCCCCCAAGAGACCCCTCTGGATTTCTGACCCCAGGTGCTGCAGGGTGAGCGCACAAACGCCCCCCCCACCTCCATCCCAAACGGTCTGCCACTCCCTAAACCCTAACAACTCCTCAGCCTAGAAGAAACAAGGCTCTGGAGGAAACACCGTGGTCCTTGCAGGCCCCCCCTATAGAGTGCTCCTCGGACCTCCCCAAATACAGTGAATCCAGCTTTCAGTACAGCCCCTTGCAGGGAAGTACCCAGCCTAGCCACTGTCCTGCATTGTCACTCACTAAGGATATAGATCTCTAAAGCGGCAGCCCTCAGCCAAGACCCCCTTTATAACCACAAGGAGCATGGCGACCCCTAGATCGACTCCAGGACCGGCTTCAGTAGTAAGCCTCTTGGACAGTGCACCACCGGGGACCAGGCCCCGGACGCCCCCGCAGTAGAACTTCCCCCACCCCACCCCCGCCAGTCACACTGACCCCACCCGCATCACAGCGCCCCCTGCGGCCAGGGGGGCGATATTCGTCCTCTGCGCGCCTATCCGCTCCGCGCGCATCCGCCGCCCGGAGTCTTACCGCCTGCAGCTGCCTCCGCCCGCGCCGCCGCTGCCGGTGCCGTGGAAGGACGAGGGCCAGGACATGCGGGACGTACGCAGGCCGGGCCGGTCGCCGGTGTCCACGGCGTCGGCGCGCTCTATGGGTCGGTGTGGATGCCGCTCGGGCTCGGCGCGCTCCGCGCTGTCCGAGTAGCCGCGCTGCTGGATACGGATGGGGGTCCGCGGCTGCCGCCACAGGTGCTGTGGAGGCGGCTTTAGGGTGGCCTGGCCCTCCCGAGGTCCAGGGAGAGACAGAGACAGGCTCCTCTCCGAGGGGACGGCCGGGGGCTCCATGGCGCGGCCCCTACCTGCGCCTCAGGGAGCCCTGGTCTCTGAACTGCACCCTGCTCAGCTACGCGCGGGCCGACGCCGCGTCCAGGGCCCCTCGGGTGCGCCCGGCCTCTGTGGGGCCATGGCGCCCCGGGGACAGACCCGGGGGCGCTACGGGCCGATCGCCCCCGGGCCCGGCGCCGAGGCTTCCCGTCGGCACCTAGCGCTCTGCTCCGTGCTGGGCAGCGCTCTCCGCGCTCGGAGCCCCGCTCGGCGCCAGCCCCGGCTCCTCCGCCCCGTCCCGCCCCTCCCCGCCCCCCGCCCGGCGCGGCTGTCAGCGCCGCCCCCCTCCTCCTCCGTCCGGGCCAGTGGGGGCAGCCACCCAAGGAGGGGGGCCCCCTCCCCGCCCACGCAGAACCCCGCTCCCGGAGGGGAGGGGGCGCCGGAACTCGGCTCTCTCTAGAGCGCCCACTCTGGCCGCGGAGTGCACGGGATCTAAGGAGTTAAACGGTTAATTCGAACGGGAAGACGACACCCAACTGGTTGCCGCTATGTCAGTCAGTCCGTCCATCATGGCGAGGGCGGAGTCGGGTGCTGGCTTGTCCTCGCCGCTACCCCTGGCCATGGGGAGCGCGTGGGGAGTGGTCCCTGCGCCACGGACGCTGTCCCTGCAGCGGGCAGCGGCTGTGTTCGGGGAATCTCGTTGGTGGGTCGGAAGATGGAGATGGTGTGTGCCCAGGGCGGGACGTGCGCGCACGTGGCCCCTTCCGAGGGTTGTCTGTGTTTTGGGTGTCGGCTGGAAGTGTGTTTGCGCACGTGGTTGGCTGCTGCGGTCTTCCTGATTCTCTGGATTTCGCTGATGTGTATCTGTGTGGGTCTGTGGGTGAAGGATGTGGGCGCACGCGTGCTGCCTGTTTGGAGGGTGTGCGCCTCTGTGGGGTCTGTTTGGGTGGCCTGGGGCTGTTTGTGTACCCACGCGTTTACGTGTGTATTGTGGCCGGTCCGTGCTTGTGGAGTTGTGCACGCGTTTCAGCCTCTGTTGTTTGTGGTGTCTAAGGGAGTCTGTGTGCGTTGGTGTGTGTGTACTGTCGGCCTGGGGCCGCTTTAGATTTTTTCTGGGGTGTGTTCTTTTGGTTCCGTGCAGATCCAGAACACCAGGTGTCTGATACCCTGGCTACCCTCCCACCGCTCTGTGTATCACCGCCTTTTGTAAAAAGATTCTGCAGAGGTAAACTGAGGCAGGTCGTCGGCAGCCGCGGGACGCATCCCCGTGCCCTTTTCAGGCGAGTAAACAGCCGCGCCTCCTCCCCGCAGCCCCAACCAGCAGAGCCCCCCTTCCGGCACCTAAATCGGGAGTCGCCGTGACTCACGCTCCCGCCTCCCCCAGCGCCGCGCCGAGCCACCGAGCAGAGAGCGAGCGGCATCCGAGCGCCCCCCTCATACCCGCCCCGGCCCCGGCCAAGCCCTGATGGTGGCCCCATAGGGAGAGCGCACTGGCCTTAAGGCCCCACCTCCAGGACTGCTGAGCTCTCGGACACTAACCCGCTCGGGAGCACGTTAGCAGAACGAGGCCCCTGCCCCCGTGCGCCCCCCTTACGGGCTCCCTGGGGCAGGCCCTGCAGCCTGCCACCACCCTCCCCCCAACCCCTGCACTGTTCTTTAAAAAAGAAAAACAGAAAGAAAAAAAAAACGAATTCCCCCCACCCCACAAAATTCTGGTATCCAACCCTCACCGCCGCTTTTCTTCCTGCCAGAGGGGGCTCAGCGTGTGGGTGAGCGTTGAGCAAGAATCGACAGCCCCCCACCAGCAGATGCCGGGTATCCCAAAGGCCAGGACTGTGTCCCCCCACTTCTCTCAGGGACCCTCCCCCCTGAGAACATTCCCCCAAGTAAACGGCTTTAAGGGGCAGGCAAGGGCTTGTGGGTCTTCCCCAGATCATTTGAGGAGCCTGGGCTGCGCCAAATTGTAGGGGCGTCAGGGCTGGAGTGTTGAGCAGCGCTCTGGGAGGGTAGTGTGTGGGATGCTGGGTGGGGGTCAGGCCACAGCAGGAATTGCAGCAGGAAGGTAGTAGGTAGTAGGAGCTATGGGATGGATCAGGCTGAACCTGAACCCGAAAAAAGCTAGTTTTGTTTTTTTCTTGGTGCGGGGTGTGTGTGTGGGGGGAGTAATTAGACCACTCGAGCAGGGATGACAGTCATCTCCAGCCCCCACCTGCAAATGAACCATGGTACCATGACCCAAGCAGAGAGACCAGCTGAGTAGATAAGGGGGTGGGGAGCTTGAGGATGCAAACAATAGTGGCTTGGGGAGGATGGTGTGTGTGTGGAGAGGGGGTGGCATTGGGGCGGGTAGGGGCCTGGCAGGCAGTTGGAACCAGCTCAGCTGACCAGCTTTCAAACTCATCTTTGGGCCAAGATGGGACTGAAGTGCCCCCAGAAGACCCCAGATGAGAAAGATCAAGAAAGTGCAGTGTGAAGCTGGGAGTCACAGATAGCTCTCACATATCCCTAGGAGAAAAAAAAATGCCCATCCAGACCTCCTTCAGGATCCTACCATCCCCTTTAAGGCCTGGAAGAAACTGCCTCCTCTCAGGGGGAAATAGAGGCACACAGCAGCCTGGCGGGAGGCTCACTCCCTAGCCTGTGGGAGCTCTCTGAATGTGGGAGTATCACTGAGGACTTCAAGAGTTGCCACCCTTTCTGCATTCCCTCCCCTTACTGACTCAGGCAGCTGCATAATGGAAGAAGGGGTTCCTTGAGGCTGTAAGGGGTGCGGGAGGGATGTCTGACCCACCAGGCTCCAGTTTCAGCTAGTTTCAGCTAGTTTTGCAAATGCAGGGAGCCTAGAGCACAGAACGGTCTGGTGGCTGGACCCAGCCCAGCTGGCCCTGTCCCTCCGTCTCACCTCCCAGCCTGGCCCCCCTCTCTTGCCTACCTGTCAGCTCTGGTGATGGAAATCCGCGGAGGGATCAGCAGTGGCAGTGTGGTGGGACGCGACGGCCAAGGGACCCCAGGGTCGGAGGGCTCAGGCTCAGCCCAGCCCAAGCCGGGACCCGTGGAGAGGCGACGTCGAGGGCGTCGGAGGTCGGCCCCTAGCATGTTGGAACGGCCGGGTTCGGGGTTCTCCCGCGGCCCCTGAGGAGGGTCAAGGGCGGGATGGGGGCACACCATGGCCAGGGAGCTCTGGGCCTCTGCCCCCAGTAACATCCGTCTCTAACCACCTGAGAGTGGCTGCTGGGGGTGTAGGCTCCTTGTGTCCCCCACATGTCTTGGCCATTAGCTGATCCCTCGCACAGAGGGTGCCTTCTCACCCCTTATATTTAAGGGGTATCCCTTCTTAGATGTAATTTTTGTGGGGCTCCTTTTGCTGTCCTCATGCCTGTACACTGTCCCTCACTGTGAAATCGCTAACACAACACCACCCTCCTCTTGATCTTAATGTCTGCCCGCCCCACACCTGAGATCCTCAAGACCTGACTTCCAGTGCCCTGCCTCCACCCCACAACCCTTTCCCCACTTAAGTATCCTTCTGCCTCTGGACTGAACGTCTCTTAATCCGGGCAGCAGGAGAATAAAGGAATCAAGGATGTAAATTGAGGCACGGGAGGGCAGGACTCCCCGAGGTGTCTTCGAAGTGAAACCGCTGGTGGTGAACAGCGGCGATCACTAGAGGGCGCCCGTCTCCCCCCACGGTCCAAGCCCCGCCCCCAGTCCGGGCCCCGCACCTCGCACCTCGTCCAGGATCCCGGCCACAGACAGGGCACTGAGACTCCTCTTCATCCCGCCAACCTAGCGCGCCGTGGGGGTCCCGGGGGCCATGTCGACCCTGGCCAGCGCCTCCTGCAGGACCAAGCCGAAGGCATCCGCCATTAGCGCCCTGGGGCTCCCCCTGCCGGCCGAGCCTGAATCCTCTTGCACCCGAGCCGATTGTCTCTCCTGGGGCATGACGTCAGCAAGTAGTTGACGCACTGCCTGTCGGTGACATCGCCCGCTAGTTGCCAGAGCGATAGCTGACGCACGGCGGGGCTCGGGACAGCGCCAATGCCCGGATCGGCCACTGGGAGGCTGGGTCGCTCCAACCCCCACCCGTACACACACAGGGGCTTCCCCGCCCCGGGGATCCCGCGGAGAAGACCGGGAGCTCCCAGCGCCGGCCGCGTACAGCGCGTGGTCCGAGCCGGGGGCCGGAGGAAGCGTCTCCGAGCTGTTGGGCTTTGATGCCTAAACCCGAAATAGCTCCAATGTGCGGGGGCCGGCCTCAGCGAGACGGCGTCTTGGGCACAGATGGGGGACGCGCAGGCAGAGGCGCGCGGAGACAGACAGGGACGCGTGGAAATAGAAACAGACAGGGACACAGACGCAGCTCCCAATGATAAGCGCGCTCTGCTGCCGGCGATCCTTGTCTAAGAGCTTGCAGAAGGCAGAGGCCGACTCAAATTCACCTTGGCACTAGGAGCTGCAGATAATTGCTGTGTGGTCATGGATTAGTAACTTAAACACTCTGAGCTTCAGTTTCTCCTCTGTAAAATGGGAAGATAATTTCTACAGGGTCCATGTGAGAATGAAATGAGATCAGACCATATTGAGTTCTCACAGAACAGTGGCACTCAGTAAGTGTTCAATAAATGCTACTAGCATCTGAGTCTGTGTGTCTGTTAAACCCCAAGTCAGATCAGGTCCCTCCTCTGCTCAGAGCCCTCAGTCACTTACACCTGACTCAGAGGCAAAGTCAAAGTATTCAATAGGAGGCCCACACAGTGTGGCACGATGTGCCCAGTCGTCTCCCTGTTTTCACCCTCCCCCACTTTCTCCTTGGCTGACTCTGCTCCATCCGCAATGGCCTCTTGGCTGTTTCTGGACACAGCAGTCAGGCTCCAACCTCAGGGCCTTTTGCACCTGCCGTTCTGTTTGCTTGGAACTCTCTTTATCTCAAATATCAATAGGTCCCTCTTATCATTTGGGTCTGCTCATATCTCACCTCTTCAGACGTTTCTCTTGGCATTTCTCTCCACCCAACCCATGTTTAAAGTTGCTAGCCCCTCAGGACTCCTGATACCCCTCATCCTGCTCTATTTTTCCACAATGCTTATCACCTTATAGCATACTATGTAATTTACCTATTACATTTATTGTCTGTCTCTTCTCATACTAGGATATCAGCTTGCTTGAGGACAAGAATATTTTATTCAATACTGTGTCCCCAGTGTCTAGAACTGAATCTGGAACATAGTAAGCTCTTAAGTGTTTGTGCAATGTCTGGTTATTATTTTAAGGACTCAATAGCATATTTATAAAGTTCCTAGCAGGTCTACTATGTTGTAGCTACTTTCCCTTTCCTTTGGCTCTTATTTCTTTTCTTGCCTTACTGCACTAGCTAGCATTTCCATTCAATGTCAACTAGTAGAAATGAGTATAACACCAAACTAGTGCTTAGCACCAGTCAAGTCCACAATAGGTAGTTCTGAATAAATGGTTGAATGTATACAGGTAGCTTAAAGGTCACTTCTTCTTCTCAGCCAGACTGATCCAGTCCATGTTCTAGGTGCCCACTGCTGCTTATTCTGTTCCCATTAAAGCACTTATTATTCTGGGTTGCAATTATCTGTATTCCTCAGTAGACAGAGCTCTGTGTGGGCAAGAAATGGTGCCCATTGATCATGGTCCCCCACACATAGTCTCAGGAACACTGAATGAATGAATAAGGGAATAAATAAGACAGACACAGGCAGAGAGTGGCACAGATACACATGCTTGGGCAGGCAGAGAAAAAGCCATGTAGTAAGGGCCATGCTCAGGCTCCAGAATTACACTGACAGACCTGCATTCAAATCCTGGCTCTGCCACTTACTGTCTATATGCATTTGGGCAAGTCACCTAGCCTCTCTGAGCCTCAGTTTCCTTATCTGTAAAACGGGGATAACATTCATAACTACCTGAGAGGATTGTCGTGAGGATGAAGTGAAACAATACACATAAGGTTCTTAGTACAGTGCCTGGTTCATAGGAGGTGCTCGTAAAACAGCAGCTGCTATCATACTAATAAGTTATCATGATTGTTCACTCACATGGAGCTAGACAGAAATGGGAGACGGTACTCATTCTTAGAGACTTCACTTTCTCCCATCTTCCCCCTTGCCCCGGGCCTCCTTGCTGTTCCTCACACCCTTCGAGCATATTTGAACCTCAGGACCTTTGAGCTTACTCTTCCCTTCACCAGGAAAACCAGCCTCAGATATCCTGTGCTCCTCCTACCCCACCTTGATCTCCCTGACTTAGCTTTCATTTGGTTTGTTTCCTGTAGACTTAAAACATTCTACAAGATATAAAATTTACCTACTACTTTAATGAGCAATGGCCTGTCCTTTGATTAGGGCATGAGGTCAGGATGTTGGTCTTATTTGTCCCCTGCTAGATCTCTCAGACCTAGGACAATACTGTCATATAGTAGGTGCTCAACAAATCTCTTGAATGAATGAATAAACCCACTTGATTTCTTCACCTTCTTTGGTTCGCTGCTCAAAGGCATCTTCTTCCAGTGGGCTTTTCTGACACGGATGCCTCCCCAGCCCATCACTCTCTGTTTCTCACTCAGTCTTATTTTTCTTATTTATTTATGTCCCCTTATATATCATGTATTGGTTTTTGCTCTCCCCAACCTCTAATCCTGCCTTCCCCTCTTCTGGGAAGCAGGCTGGCTGAGGAGGGGTTCCAGATGGCACAGCAAGCCACTCTCAGCAGCTGGCACCAAGCTCAGGTTAAGAGAGGCCTCTCCCCTCAATCAGACTGTCAGCAAGATCAGCCACCAGCCCAACCTGGGAGCTCCTGGCCTGAACTGAGAAAATACTGGCTTCACCCAGCTCCCCTCCCTCAGAAGAGTGACCAACAGGAGGGGAAGAAGGGAGGATAAAAGTCCTTGTCTTCACCTTGGCCCTGAGCACTCAGGTCTCAAGAAGGATGGTTACTACCCAAGCTCCATGCCTGGCACTGAAGCAGGGCTCAAAAGACCGTCAGGGGCCCCAGACATGCGTGCATGAGTGTGCATATGTTTTTTGCATGAGACTTTGTACACAGTTGTCCATGCGCAACTGGATAGGTGGAACTTTCTGCAAATCTGAGTGTTCCCCGGGCCTCCTTGCTGTTCCTCACACCCTTCGAGCATATTTGTACCTCAGGACCTTTGAGCTTACTCTCCCCTTCACCAGGAAAACCAGCCTCTGTTCTTGCAGAAGTGTGTGTATGTGACAAGGTGTTGCCATATCAGTCTATGTGGGCATGAGATTGGATGTACCAATTTGTGATAATAGTGTGTGTGTGTGTTTGTGTGTGGCAGGGAGGAGGGACTGTGTGCACGTGGCAAGCAGCATTTCATAGTGGTTAGAAATGCGGATTCTGGGTTTAAATCTCTCCTTAGTCACTCACTAGCTATATGGCCTCAGGTACATTATGTAGGCTCTTGGCTTGTGCCAGTATTTGATATTTGTTAGTATAATTACATTTGTCTGGATTTAAGTGTGTGTGTGTATGTTGAAAAGTAATTTGTCTTCTCTGGCAGATCTTCCCAGATAGCCAGCCTAAAGTGGACCCTTCCATTTTCCTCTTTTATCACAAGCCATCTATTTCCATCACAGCCTTAATAATTTGTTATATATTTATTTGTTTGTCTATGTTGTTTCTTTTTCTGTTTTCCCCACTAAATGTCAACTCCTCCATGTTGGTGTGGAGATATGTTCTGTTCACTACTGTGTCTCTAGCACCTGGCATATAGTATTCCTGAATACTTGTTCAATAGAGGAGAGGAGAGCTGTGTCTTTTTGGAATAGGTAGAGAGTTGGGTGCTGGCTAGGTGAGTTTCTGGAGGTCCTTATGATCAAACCTGGCCTCTACTCTCTTCCTTCCCCTGTTGTTCACAATTCCTTCAGCCATCCTCACTTTATGAGAATGATGATACCCCATCAACTCCCAGTATTGCCTTTGACATCTTTCCCCTTTTCTGGGTCTTAAGGACTCACTTGCCTCACCTGTAAAATGGGAAGAGGATGGGCTGCTTCTTGATAAGTCTCCTTACTGATCTAAAGTGCTATGAAAAGAGTTTTAACCTAATCCCTTCTTTAATTTATTCAACATTTATACATCTACTACTGTGTGCCAGGCGCTGTTCTAGACCTGGCCCTGCCCTTACGGAGCTAAAGCAAACAGGGAAGGTAAATGTGAACCAGAAATGCCTATCTCAAAGCACCTTCCCAGAGAGTCACTCCGTATGCCTGATGGAATTTTAGTCTTTACATCTGAAATCACCTCAGGTGGTTCTGTTTATATACTGATCTTGCTCCCTCACCAGCCATGAGGGGCACCAGAGCAGGTGCCCAGCTGTTTTTGGTTGCTGCAGCCCCACTGCCTGGTTACAGCCCATTGGAACATAGCAGGCACTTCAGAAACAGGAGGGAAATGACCTAAGAAATAAACGATGGAGGACAGGCAGGCTCACATGCACGACCTCACGGAATTCTCCCTTGAGGATTGGGTGTCATCACCCACTTTGCAGATGAGGAAATTGAGGCTCAGGAAGACAAAGCTGTTCTCTGGGTCCCACCGCAGCTAAGTTGTGTGTGGCTGTGGCATGCAGCAGAAGCAGCTTTGATGGCCCAGAGAAGCATTCCCAGCCCCCACCCCACCCCACTTCACAGGTACAAGTGACACAGCGGGGGATGCGCTGAAGGGGATGGAGTAAGAGACTGAGGGACAGTGTAAAGCAACTCAGAGATCTCTGTTTCAGTCCCCCAGGGCCAGAGATGCTGTGCTGGCACGCGGTTAAGAAATGCTTGGAGCTGATGCGGGAGCTACCGGCGCCCTATCCCCAGTTTAGGGAGGTGGGGCCCAAGGGACTCCATTTCCTTAAGGCTGGGCAGCTCCGATCTCCGAAGCCAGGAAGAGACCCCCTTGCCTTCCCGGGAATCCCTGGCGTTCGGGATCGTCCCCACGTACACCCAGCTTGGAGGCCTGCCGGAAGCCCTGGCTTTCTTGGGGTGCTGGGGAAGCCCCGATCGTCCTAGCCCCCTCCCTCCGGGATGCTGGGTCCCCTGCCCCACCAGAGCCCAAAGCTTACCTTGCAGAGGGGCTGGGGAGTGGAGGCCCCGCCCTCTCTGGCCTCGGGGTCAGGAGGGGACAGGGGGTGTCCGGACCCTTTGTTTGCTTGTGTATGTGTGGGTGCGCGATTGTTAGACCCGCTGGGATGTGGGTCCGTGCGCGCGCGTGCCCGGGCCGTGAAGGCCGCTGAGATACTGGACTGCCCAGGCTAGAGGAGGAGGGAGAGGAGATGGGGACTCCGCCGCCCCCGCCTGCCCACTCGCCTGAATGGAGTTCGAGGAGGAGGGGCTGCAGCGGGCGGGCGCTTTTGTGTGGATTGCACCTCCCTCTCCCCGGGCCAGGGAATACCCCCATCTAGAGCCCTTTACTCCAGTCCCTCCAGCCCCCTCCCTCTAAACACCCACTGTGGGGGAATCTGAGGAGAGGCGCCGCTCCGTGCTGGAGCTGGAGATCATCCCATCCCACCCGCCCCCCACAGAACACCCTTTAATCCGAGATAATCTTGACCCTAGACTGCAACACGGACTTTTATCTTGGTATCAAAGCGTGGATTGGGATGTTCCAAAGTGTGCGGTTGGGTTTGCCCAAGCTCAGAGTAACGGAGGCCTCAGAAGCACGGCCAAGGAAGGGGACCCCAGGGGAAAGGTGAGGGGCTACGAGCGGTCATAGAGAACCGCCAAAGGGAAAGCCCCCAACCGTTATTTCCGCATCTCCCCCGCCCCCAGAGCGCGGGGCCAGGAGCACTGGCCGCTGGCTAGACATTAGCGACATCCAGCGGCTGCACAGGGAGGCGTCGCGGACAGAAACCTTTCACCCATTAGAGGGGCCCAGGTGATTCCAGAGGGGGAGTGAGCGCAAATCCCCGCTCAGGAGTAGCTGAAAGTGGGAACACCATGGGGAGGCAGTGGTCCGAGCCGGGAAAACACCAGCCCCCAAGGCAGGGCCACATAGTCCCTACCTCCGACCTCCGAACAGCAGGGCCACATTCGTTCTCCACTTAGAGCTTCCCAGGGCAGGGCCCTGGACCCCTAGGATTGGGAAGGTCCCCTCAGAGCAGGCACCCCTTCCCAGGGTAGGGTTAGTTCCGCCTTCACGCGGGGCAGGGGGCGAGGTCTTCTTGCCGAGGCCCCGCCCCTGCAGTGGCTTCGGGCTTACGTCTCTGCAGCGTGGCTAGGGAGACAAATCTTCTGTCTCGCCATCTGCCCGCCCTCCGTGGCCGCCGTAAACGCCCACTGGAGGGCAGCGTGAGATGGACGCTCGAGGCTCGAGGACCAGCCCATTTGCCCTCAGGAAGTGCCTAGCGGAGACTCCACGCCCGATGAGGCGAGGTCTTGGCGGGAGCGCCCAGGGGCCAGAACACGTGCGCAGGGCCCTTTAAGACGAGCTCGGTCACCAGTGCCGCCGCTGCGGTTACTAAGGTTATGACGTCAGGGTAGGAGGGGCGGAGCGTCCGGGCGGAAGCGGAAGGGGCGGGCCCGGGGCCCCACGGCCGAGTCTGCACGTCTGCGGCCGCCGACACTGTCTTTAGAGCCCCAGTGAGCTGGGCCTCCGAGGCAAGATGGTGGACTACAGCGTGTGGGACCACATCGAGGTATCTGACGATGAGGACGAGACGCACCCCAACATCGACACCGCCAGCCTCTTCCGCTGGCGGCACCAGGTAGAGCGCGCGCGCCCAGCCCCTTCCCCCGCCCGGGACTCCGCTCCAAAGTTCTGACCCCTACCCCTGCCAGGGACCCCTCCATTGACACCTAGGATCCCCTTCCCACAGTCTGGACTTAAGCATCGCCCGGACTTCCTTGATTGAACTCCGGGCCCCCGAACTGCCGGGACTCTGGGGCCCTGCCCGCGATCCCGGGTCCCCGATTCCAGTTTCTACAGGAACTTCCCAGTTGACCCCCAGGGCACCTTCCTCAGAGTCTAGACTCCCAAGATAAGCCTTGAGGGTGCCCCCATCCCATCTGGTATCTTCCGTTTACTCCTAGAAGTCTGCCTGAGAGTCTCGACTCTGATCCTACTCGGGTATCCACTTCTGATTTTGGATGTGCACATCGGCCCCTTCCCAATCCCTAGAAACCCCAATACTTTGAATCTATCCTAGGATCCGCCTCCCTGCGGCTTGAGGGGGATTCCCATTAAGATCCAGAGATCCCACTCCTTCTCCAAACAGCAAGGAACTCTAATCTGTGAGATATCTTGTTCCTGGCCTGGGATTTCAACCCACACCCAGTGTCTCTTCACTAGAACATACACCAGGGCTCTCAGTCCCAACTAGAACTGGAGTTTGGGAACCCAGTTCCCCTGCAGACTGAATGACCAGCTCCACCACCCAGATGGAGCCTCTGATTCCAGCCATTCTCCATTAGCTTTACCTACTGTAGAACCCATTTTCCATTACACCAGGAAACCCTACCCCTGTGGCTTCCGGCCTAGCCACAGCCACTGCTCCTACTTGGTGTTGCAGACCCAGGCACCGCCCACCCCCTAAGATGGGCTTCCCGTAGGAAACTGCCAGCGTTGGAATGTCTCATCAGAGGCCAAGTTCAGAACCCAAGCCCCTCTGGCGTCAAGCCCTCCTCCTGACCCCAGCTTGGTCTGCTGCTCTCAAACACCCAGGTTGGCCCTGTTCTCTCCAGGGACCCTCCTGGGCTGATTCCAAATTCACTGCTCCTTCCTTGATTTGTCCACAAATCCAGACCCCAGATTCTCTAGTCTGGGTGTCCTTCCACCCTTATCCCTTTCTAGCAGTGCTCACAGGCCAACAGGGTGGCTCCCCTAAGATCTAATGTTCTAACTTCTTGCTCCCACAAATCAGAGCTCCTACACCCACATACCGTGCCTGTTCTACTCAAACTGAGGGTGTACACCTCTCAGAACCTCTTTGTTAGGAATTCCTCACCCCACCCTCCCATATGGCAACTCCCAGTCACTTATCTAGAACCTCCTAGAAGGACCCTTCTCTATCCTGCCAAGAACTACATCTGGTCCCCAGTCTCATCCCCAACCCATTTCTTAAAGCAGCAGTGTCTTGGGTAGCATACCTACCAGGCAAACTGGAGTGTAAGAAGAAAGTTCTAGCACTTCTATATCTTGCCATGTGTACCATTTTATTATGAAGTATTTAAGGCTTCTGCAAAGCCCTAAGGACTATGCTTGGGAACACCTATTACTGTCACATAAAGGATTTGGTGTACACTGCTGTGGGGGAATGGTTTGGTTCTGCTAGGTGGGAGACCCATGGCCCCCTCTCCTGAAGCATCCTCCCACCACGCCTTCCTCCCTCCTGACACAGAACCTTTTCTTGTCCTGCTGCTCAGGGCCCAAGGCTGAGGACCGGTTGGGGGGCCTTAGCATCTCCAGCAGGTGACAGGCAAGCTTGGGTTCTCGTCTCAGTGCTCACACTTCTTTACTCTGGGTTGCGGGGGAGACCTATCCCTTCACTGACCACTGTAGGAACAAAATGAGATTAGGTTTGAAAGGGACTTGGCTTGGGGCCTATATGGAATAAGCATATGGGTGAGTGGGTAGTAAAAAGGTAGCCTGGTGTGCTTCTGAGCACAGGCCTGCCCACCCAAGTTCAAATCCTGGCTCCCGAATCACTGACTTGCCTCACAGCCTCTAGGGAGTTGTTGGACTGCTCTGTGCCTCAGTTTCCCAAGCTGGGAACATTAATAGTGTTCACCCCACAGGGTGGTTGTGGGGGTTACCTTATTTATTTAATGTGTATAATGTCCGTGGGACAGTACCTGGCATGTTATAATAAGCTCTCTGTAAACTTCAGCCAAGGTTGTCATCATTGTTATTTAGGTAATTTGTGCTCATGGTAAAAAAAAAAAAAAAAAAAATTCCAGAGGTTGCAGAATGGGACAAGTGAGACTTCCCAGCCCCAGCTCCCCCAATTCCCTTGTCCAGAGACAGCCGCCATTACTGGTTTCATCCATGAGCCTTGGTTTCCCTAACTGTAAGGCAGGAAGGCAGTAACACACGTGGGCCCTTCTTGCAGCCGTGGCCTCTGCCCTGCCAGCCTGCTACATCCCCTCCCGGAGACGTAAAGCCCAGGCCAGGCACGCTGCTGCCCCCGTCAGTTCCAGGAGGCCTTTATTTAGCTTCGGCCTCCCTGGCGGCTGCTCAGAGGACACTGAGGAGAGCTTGGTGGCTGCTCAGTGGAAACCAGCAGGGTGGTAGGTTCCTGATGCCAGCCCCCAGGAGCCCCTCGCAGGACAGCAAGAAGGCTCCACGGTGACACAGGCCCATCATGGAGAAAGGGAGGCAGCAGAGGCCAGGGCTGCCTTCTCTTTCCTCTCCATGAGCCTTATCCACTTGGGGAAAAATGAGGCTCAAGATGAGCCCCGTCAGGCCCGTGGGGCCCTGGGAAGGGCCCAGGTCTCCTGAGTCTCGCCTGCCATGTGTCCGGCCTTGTGCTGGAACCTGGGGCTAGGGCCTCGGATAAGTTAGTAGACCCTTGTGGCATGGCCACGACAGTGGTGATCGCAGTGGGACCCATTTTCCAAGTACTGTGTTGCAACCAGTTTCCGTGGAGTGACTCACTTAGTCCTCACAGCCTATCAAGCTGGTTTTCGCAGAGGGGAACACCAGGACAGGGAGAAGTTTTAACAGCCTGGTCAGGGTCGCATCACCGGTGGTGTGCAGTGGCAGTGCAGTGACCCCCCACTCCCCGTTACCAGGCATTTCCTCCAGGCTGGAAAGTGAGGGAAGCACTTGAAGCGTGTTTCATTGCCTGAGCCCCAGAAAGATCCACAGGGAGAGATTGTCCCCTCGGACAGACTATAATGACAGCTGGCCTGGCAGTAGCTCTGGACTGTCCCTTGAAATGATAACCTCCTTTGCTTCTCTGCAGCTCTGTGCAGTGGGTGAGGTAGCCACTGTTGTCTGCATTTGAGAGATGAGGAAACAGGTTCAGAGGGGTTAGGGAATCAGCCCAGGGACACCCAGCCATTATTCAGTGACCGTGGGACACAACCCCAGGTCTTGGGACCCCAGGGCCATCCTCCAGCATTTCATCATGTCATCTGATGATCATGAGGGGCCTTTGGGGTTCAGTGACGTGGGGTGGGGTCACCTGGGGAGGGCTGTGTGGAAACTGAGACCTAGGGCAGAGCAAGTAGAGAAAGAGAGAATGAGTTCTAGGTAAAAGGGCAGCATGTGCAGGGCCGAGAGGCAGGAGAGCTGATGCATTCGGGGGGCTGCAAGGGCCAGCATCCCCTGCGACCCAGCACCCCACAAGGCCTTGGGGTCATCTTGGCAGCTTGGGGCAAGGGCCAGGGGCCGCATCTGATCACAGGCACTCCAGGTTGGGGCGGGAGAGAGACCACAGTCAGATGTGTGTGTGTTTCAAGGCTTCTGCGGCAGCTTCTGAGCCTGGGTTGGGGACAGCGATTGAAAGCAGTGTCACCTTTCAGGGTTCAGTCAGCGGCTCAGTATTGAACAGGTACTGCTGGAGTTCAGGGGAGATGATGACAGAGCCCAGCCAGTGAGGGAGGCAGACAGGGCAGCAAGAACGGAGGAGGGAGGAAACGGGTGCCATCACTCGGCTTGGGCCACAGCAGAAGGGGAGGTCTGAGGAGTGACCTCCAGGGACAGGTGGCAGATAAACACTGACCTGGGGCACAGGGGGGCGTGCCGGCCTCCAGACAGAACTGGGTCCAGGGCCAACACCCAAGGTGGAACAAATTGGAGGGCCATTTTCAAATGAAAACTGTCAGAACTTTGTGGTGGAGCAGCGGGGTGGGGCGGGGCCAGTGAGCAAGCATGAGGTGGGGGGCTTCCCTGAGGGGGAACACTCCAGAAGCCTGGGTTTTGGGGGCTAACATAGTTCAGTTTGGGATGCAGAGGTGGAGATGCCTGCATGACACCCAGGCAGAGGTGTCCACGGGGCACCCAAGTGTGGCTGAGGGCCACTCCAGGAAGGAGGGGGAGCTCAGACCACAGTGGGGTGAGGCCCCCATCCAAGGTCTCCGTCTCCTTATTTTATTCACCCAACGAGCATTTTCTAAGCTCCTGCTGGGTGCCAGTGTGTAGAGACAGGGCAGTAAACCTCTGTGGAGCCAGTGTCCTTTGAAGGGGACAATGCCCAAAACATAATTCAGCAATGGTCACTGGAGGTTAGCAGGTAACAAGTGCTGAGGAAGAAGATAAAGCAGGGCACAAGCCAGGGGAGCTCGCGGTCTTCAGTGGGCTGGTCGGGGAAGCCCTGAACTGTAAGGCAACATTTTGCAACCAAAAGGGTAAGGAGTCAGGTGGGGAACTTGGGAGAGAACAGAAAGAACAACCAGTGCAAAGGCCCTGAGGTTTGAAGTCGGTTGGAGAAAAGTGTGACTGGAGGAAGAGGGTTCAAGTGGGCGGAAGTGAGGGCAGGGAGGTGGCCGACAGAGCGTGCAGGACCTTGTGGCCATGGAAATGACTTGGGCTTTCGCTCTGAGTGAGGTGGGAGCCATAGGGGGTTCTTAGCAGAGGAGGGACTCTGACCAAGTGTGCACAGGTACAGGGAGGGTGAGGGTGACAGCTGGGGCATCCAGGACGTGGACACTGGTGCAGATGTTCCTGGGGCCATCCCAGGTGCAGCCAGCGGGAGCCCCAGGCCAGGGTAGCGCCTTGAGAGGGGCAGGCCTTTCCCCAGAGTGAAGGGCCTGCCCACCCGCAGGCCCGGGTGGAGCGCATGGAGCAATTCCAGAAGGAAAAGGAGGAGCTGGACAGGGGCTGCCGCGAGTGCAGGCGCAAGGTGGCTGAGTGCCAGCGGAAGCTGAGGGCGCTGGAGGCGGCTGAGGGTGACGGCAGCAAGGCGGAGCTGGAGCGGCTGCAGGCCGAGGCCCAGCAGCTACGCAGGGAGGAGCGGAGCTGGGAGCAGAAGCTGGAGGAGGTGCGCAGGAAGGAGAAGAACATGCCCTGGAATGTGGACACGCTCAGCAGAGACGGCTTCAGCAAGGTGTGCGGGTGCCGGGTGGGCTCAGTGGCTGGCGGCAGGTGGGAAGCAGGGGGAGGGCCAGGCTGGGGGCACAAGCTTGGGGAGCAGGTGTGCGGGTGGGGTGGATGAAGCGCCCCCTCTGATCTGCCCGAAGGCCATAGTCCGAGGCCACACCTGCCACGCTCACGCTCCTGCCACACTGATGTTCATGGCACCGTCACCGCCTGCACCGTGGATGGGATGGGCACTGCGGCCGCGGCCCACCCGGCCAGGCGCGAGGCTCTCCTCGGCCTCGCCCCAGCCCACTCCTCCTCTCACCCCACCACAGAGCATGGTCAATACGAAGCCTGAGCAGGCGGAGGAGGAACCAGAGGAGGTGAGGGAGCAGAAACACAAGACCTTCGTAGACAAGCACGAGAGACAGATCAAGCACTTTGGTGAGTTGGGGAGGGCCTTGGGGGTGTCTGCTGGGGGGAATGGGGACGCGCATGGGGCAGGAGTCGGCCCCCTGCCTCCAGGGCCCTCCTTCCAGTACCTCACCGACCCCTTCTCACAGGCATGCTCCGTCGCTGGGACGACAGCCAGAAGTACCTGTCAGACAATGTCCACCTGGTGTGCGAGGAGACAGCCAACTACCTGGTCATCTGGTGCATCGACCTGGAGGTGGAGGAGGTGAGCAGGGCCCACTCCAGGCAGCAGAAGGGCTGCGACCTGAGGCTGCCACGTGGTGACGCCATACCTGTGCTCCCTTGGCAGAAACGCGCGCTCATGGAGCAGGTGGCCCACCAGACCATCGTCATGCAGTTCATCCTGGAGCTGGCCAAGAGCCTCAAGGTGGACCCCCGCGCCTGTTTCCGGCAGTTCTTCACTAAGATCAAGGTGGGCGCCTGGAGCAGCTGGGGGTGGGTGTGGCCGGGGGCATGTGGGCAGAAGTCTAGTCAGACTGAAGCCCCGCGGTCGCACCTCATCCATTAGTCGCTGGCAGGGCTGTGGAGTGGCTGGCTCCTGGACACATTTGAAAGTGGGTAGCTGACAGGATGTGCTTAAAACCCTGAGGCAGGGTGAGGGACAGAGTCAAGGACATCTTGGGAACCCCTTATCTGAGCACCCAGAAGAGGAACAGAGCTACCCGTGCTGCGGTGCGGGCAGCTGGGGGCAGCGCAGTCCCAGAGCCTGATCCAGAGCTCGGACATGGCACTGTCGAGTTTGAGGTCCCGCAAAACTCCCTGAGGAGGATGTGGAGGAGGTGGTGGCACGGGTCAGCGGTTCAGGGGGACATGCAGGCAGGTGGCCGTTAGCATAGAGGAGGTAAAAGCAGGCTTAGAGGTGGAGGGGGCCCGAGCCCCAGGGTCCACCTGTGAACGCCAACCCCCGACCCCACAGACAGCTGACCACCAGTACATGGAGGGCTTCAACGATGAGCTGGAGGCCTTCAAGGAGCGTGTGCGGGGCCGGGCCAAGCTGCGTATTGAGAAGGCTGTGAAGGAATACGAGGAGGAGGAGCGCCAGAAGCGGCTTGGCCCTGGCGGCCTGGACCCCGTCGAGGTCTACGAGTCCCTCCCTGAGGTGGGCTCCCCAACCCTGGCGGGCAGGCGGCAGGTGGGCCCCTCCAGGGTCCCCGGGGTCCAGGCCCTGACTACAGTGCATCTGCTCCCACAGAAACTCCAGAAGTGCTTTGACGTAAAGGACGTGCAGATGCTCCAAGAAACCATCAGCAAGATGGACCCCACCGTGAGTAACCGGGCCCCGGGCACACCTGCCAGCCGCACTGAGCGCCCGGGCAAGCAATGGGCCCCCACCCCTCCAGCCCACTGGCGCAGGACGCAACCAGGCTATCATGCCACATGCACAAATTTATTGAGCACCCACTGTGTGTCTGGCATTCAGTAGTGAACTGGAAGCTTTCATTGACAGGTCACCCCTGCCATTGGGTGTCACTGTCTCTGGGCCATTTATGCAGACAGCCAGCACCCTGGGCTAGCTGCTTTGCCCAAGAGGGTGGCTCCTCCCCAGCCTCAGTTTACCCATCAAACCACAATATTAACTAGGAAGAGCCTGGGGGTGGGAGTTGACCACATGATAGGTGTGGGTAAACATCAGTTGCTATTGCTAGAAGCAGTAACAGTGCTGGTAGGTGGGGACTTTGAGCCTTGATAGACCTTGGTTTGACCCCATTCCTGGCCCAGTGGTTGGCCGCACTGGTTCCTTCACCTGTAAAATGGGTCAAGTCACAGGACCTGTCCCTAGGCTTTTCGAAGCTTCCATAGGAATGAGCATCTAGACCAAGGGTCTTCAAACTACAGCTTGCAGGCTCTCTGCCTGTCTTTACAAATAAAGTTTTATTGGCACACAGCAGCCATACTCATTTATATTTCCATTTTGTCTGACTGATTGTGTGCTCCAAGCACACAGTCAAGGATTGTGGGTTGAGTGATTACAGCAGAGACCCTGTGGCCCACAAGCTAAAAACACCTGCTCTCTGGCCCTTTGCCAGATAAAGTTTGCAGACCCTTCCTCTCAGCATGCACCATTTAAGCTCCAGTTAAGTAAAACTCAAAGTCCTGTCTCGTCTGCACCAGCCACATTCACAGGCCACTGGCTCAGAAATAGCAGCCAGCAAGCTTGAGGACGAGCAGGGCACAGGCGGGCCGCCAGCAGGGGGCAGCGCAGCCTCACCCGCCGCCTTCTCCCTGCAGGACGCGAAGTACCACATGCAGCGCTGCATCGACTCGGGCCTCTGGGTCCCCAACTCCAAGTCCAGCGAGGCCAAGGAGGGGGAGGAGGCGGGCCCTGGGGACCCCTTGTTGGGAGCCAGCCCCAAGCCGGGAGACAAGAAGGGTATCAGCGGATGATCTGCCCAAGCCGCCTGCCTGCCTACAGGCCCCTGTGCACCCCTTTTCAGAAAACAAAAATAGATGCCACTTCCCCAGCTCCTGGTTTCCTCCACTTTTGCTGCTCCCGCCCAACCTGAGATAGGGGTCAGGGGGCCTGTCCCCCTCCACTGCCCTCACCCCCCCAGCACTCATCCGAGTCTCTGCTTTGAGTCAAGGGGCTTCACTGCCTGCGGCCCCCTCGTCAGCATTATGCCAAAAGCCCCAAGGGTCCGGGGAGGGTAGAGGTTGCCAGGCTAGTCCACAGGGTGTGGGTGGGGGGTCCCCAGCTGAGGGGCCTGCCCTGGTCGCTGGTGCTCTGTCTTCACTGTCGGTCTGCTGTGGAGCCTTGAATATGGTAAATAACAATCATCTTCCAATAAAGGATTTCAGATGCTCAGCAGGGTGTCACGAGGGCTGTTGGCACAGCTCTTCTCTTTGGGCTGGGAGGGAAGCTCCGGGACTGTTGGCAGCCTGGCCTGTGACACCCCAGCTTTGCCCTCAGCTACCTAGGCAGCTTCCTCTGTACTCCAGGCTCTTGTATATGCTGTTCCACCTGAGGGTCCCTACCACCGTCCATTCAGGAGCTTCATTGCCCACCAGGTCTCCCTTCCCACATGGCCAGCTCTGCCTCCCGAGCAGATCCTGAGCCTGAGCCCCTGCGCTGCACACCTGCCCCAGCCTCCTGGTGCTCTCCCTCTTCCGTACTGGGTGGACCCCAACAGGGGCCAGAACGTGGGGTCCAGGTATATCCCTTCTTCAGCTGAAGCCACAAGTTCTTGAAGCTCACCAGGCCCTGCTCCCTATACCCAGTCACCTCCCTGCCCCCGTCTTGGGTTCCCCCCACATCCCCATTCTTCCTTACCCATCCTTGAGCACTTTATCAGTGTGACCTTGGGCAACTTAGCCTCAGTGCCCCCCTCGGTATGATGAGAGTATTGTCAGTGCCTTCCTCCCCACAGGAACCATGAGACGCCACAGGCAGGCTCGGTGCCTGGCCCTCAGATGCTCTAAATGCAGGCCTTGGCGTGTGTCTGTTCCTTTGCCTGAACACCTTTCCCTGCAGCCTGCTAGGAGGGCTCCTCTAAAAAGCAGTGAAATATTTGGGCCACAGAAAGGGCTTCAAAAATAGTACAATGAACAAGGACACATCAGCTTAAGATGGAAGAATCCACAAACCAGTGAGGCCCTCTGCCTTCCCCTCCCAGGAGACACCCCTGGCGGCTGCTTGTCACCTGGACCGGAGCTCGGTGTTCCTCCTGGAGGCCTTCAACCCACCTGAGGCGGCCCTGATGCCCAGCCAAGCAGCTTGCCTTGTGTCCAGCCTCGCCGACCTGTGTATTGTCTCCCTTACGCTGTGAGCATCACCAGGGCACAGAGCACATCTTCCCCGGTCCTGAGGTATTCGCAGCACCCCGAAGGGGTCCTGTCACAGAGTGGGCCCTCAGTAAATGTTTGCCAAAGCAGAGGGCCCCAGAATGCCGTTGTGCCCAAGATGGTCGCCACCAGGGGGTAATAGTGAGCTGCAGACCCTGGTGACATCCGTTAAATTTAGTAGCATTCATGTGGACAAGGAAGGCAGGCGGGGGCCTTGGAGGGCTTGAGGAGAGCCAGGCATCCTAATGCCCTGGATAAACCATCCATCCAGGATTGTCACTTAGTTCTTTACTGTGAAGACTGGTCAAAGATGGAACTCGAATTACTGATTTTTCCTTTCGCCTCAGGCTCCGATAGAACGCAGCACTGTTAATGATTCTTAAAATTTTGGTATTTTGTTCATCATGCGTTTTTTTTTTCTACGTTAATTGTGCTTTTTGAAAATATCACATTAAAGTTTTATCTTGGTTACTGAGTTTCCCGGCACCCTCTTTGCTTTCATCCCTCACCGGCCGCACCGCCCCAGCTCTGGCCCTGGAAGGACACAGCATTTAAAACGTCAAGTGATACTAAGAGATCACGGTGAGGCAGCAGCGTCTCTACTCCCTCCTCTTGTGTGGTTCCCTGCCTCCAACCACAGGAATCCACTGTCTATGCTTTCTTGTGACTCCTTACAGGCTTTTGGTAAAATCAAATATATTCCTCCCCTTCATTATCCCTGCCCCTCCATTTCACATAGAACATAGCACATCCTACAATCTGAAATGCACCTTGCTTTTTTCACTGAACAATGTGGCCTGCAGATTTTATCATGATACTGACACTTCTGTTGCCGGGCAGTCCGACCTGGGAAGATCTCCCTGCGCGCTTGGTGAGACCTCAGCCCGGGAGAGGGTCCTCGACTCTGATGGAGAAAGAATTCATGAACAGGTTAGATAAGTGTAGGGAACAGACGAATCCATTAGGGTGAGTGTAGTAGTAAAGGGCAGCAGCTGTAGAGGGCAAGGAAGAGATGGAAAGGGGAAGTTAACTGCAAATCCCTTGCCAACTCCAGCAGCCAGGGTCACCTGTCATTCAGTGTTAGCTTGAGTCTGCACCATGTGGGAACTAAGCCCCTACCACCCCAAGACTGGGGGAGGCCACAGAACACTGGATGGAGTGAGATCATATTCTGGGAACTTCCCAAAGATTTTCCAGCAGGCTACAAAAGAGCATGATCACACAGCTGCAGTCCTGTGCAGGTCGCCCAGGCAGTGGGAACTTGCAAGCCCAAATCAGGGATCTCAGTAGCCCTTCCCTACTTTCCTAGAATAGAACAGAGACAGATTGAAGATTTGTGCTTAAATCTAGAAAACAGAATGAAATAGCAAAGTAACAAAGACACCACTGGAAGAGCACAGAGACAAATGCAGTAAGTTGAGCAGCGAGAAGGCTTTAAAGGCAAAAAGTACACACTCAAAAGGGGAGCAAGGGGCAACCTCAGAGAGCATGTGCGCCTTAAGGGCTTAGGATTCTGTCTTTTAAGGCTTTCAAGAAGGGGGGAAAGGTTGGAGTGGTACGTAGACATGTGGTCTCATGATGTCTGTCTCTGGTGAGAGACATGTCACCATCCATAGTCCTCTAGATATTCTGTAAGATAAACTTCATACAAGGAATTTCATGATACCTGTTCTTCTCAAGATAGTGGTTACCCTTAAGCAGTGGGGACATATCATTTAGAACTGCTTGTCCTGCCTTAAGATAGGCTTGGTTATTGGGTGATTACCATAAAATATGTTAGGAATCTCACCTCTTAACTCCCTGGTTTTTAAAATGGAATCTTAAGATGAAGTCCCTTCTGTTCTGACTAAACTATTTATACATATCGACATTTTTCATCACAGGCAGGAAAAATTAATCATGATGCTTGTCCCATGTCCCTGCCCTACCTTGCTTCCTCTTTCTTTCTATCCTGCTAGAAAGTTCTAGTACGTGTATATTCAATGTTCACTTCACCTGCCCTCTTGACTAACAGTTGGGCTCTTTCCAGTCTCTACTTTTGCAAACAGTGCTTCCAGAAATACCCTTGTGCACCACTTCCCATGAGTACAGACGCCCTGCCTGTAGGAAACATTCCCACAAGTAGGTTGGCTGGGTCTTAGTAGGAAACAGAATTGCACTCAAAAAGTTTTAACTGAACAGCCATCATGAATTCAGTCACTGATGCCAGTGATGCGAGCTCAGGTTGGAGAACCAAACAAATGTATCCATTTCTTCAGGCTGCTGTAACAAACAGCCACAGACTTAGCAGGTTCAGCACAAATATATTATCTTATGGTTCTACAGGTCAGAATGCCTAAAATCAAGGCATTGATTGGTAGGACCGCCATTCTGGAGGTTCTGGGTAGGATCCATTTCTCCATTTCCTTGCCTCTTCTGGGTTCTAGAAGCTGTCTGCATTTGTCGGCTCATGGCCCCCCTTCTCCAGGCTTCAAAGATGGCAAAGATACAGCAGCATGAAGCTCCTAACACATCCAGAGGCAGAACTTGCTGAAATCTGGAGCCTTAGCAGAACTTGCTGAAATCTGGAGCCTTAGCAGAACTTGCTGAAATCTGGAGCTGCAAACAAGGAGCTCCTCCTCCCTACGGGATATGTGGCTCCAGAGAAACGCAGCCACTGCCTGAACTATGGCCAGGCGCGGAGGGAGTAGCGCCTGTCCTTGTTGGTCTCCCACCGCCAGCCCCTGCCAGGCTTCCGCACTGGCAGAACCCACCAGAAGCCAGGGATGTGGAAGCTGAGTGACACAATTTGTTTATTCTGTGGCCACAGGAAGAAGCCCTCAATACACAGCTGCTCATAAGCAACAAGTCCCCTGCTGGGTGCTGGGCACAGATCCTAGAACAAGTTACTCCATCACCGATCCCCTTTCCCTGCTTACCTTCTCTCCCTGCGTGCCACGAAACCCACTTATTAGTATTTATCTGGTTTATATCAGCTCCTTGAAGTCAGGGATTCCTGTGTTTTGTTCATGGCTAAATCCCCAGATCCTACAACACAAGGTGTCCATAAGCGTTTTTTTTTTAATTGCAGTAAAATGTATGTACCGTAAAATCTACCACTTGAGACATTTTCAGGTGTATGATTCAGTGGCATTAAGTACAAGAAACTCGGTTCCAATTAAACGTAACTCCCCACTCATAGAATATCTGTAATTTTGTGACTTACAATGCTTATTATATTTCACACAATGTTTTCAAGGTTCATCCACTGTGTAGCATGTATCAGAAATTCATTCCTTTCTAAGGCTGAATAATATTCCTCTGTAGGACACAATTTTGTTTATCCATTCATCTGTCAGTGTACACGTGGGTTGCTTCCCCTGCTTGGCTGCTGTGAATTATGCTGCTATGAACATAGATGTACAGACATCTCTTTGAGTCCTGCTTTCTTTTTTTAATTAAAGTATCATTAATATACAATGTATATTTGAAACAATCTTGCATTTGTTTCAAACATACATCACAGTGGTTCATCAGTTCCCGTGATCAACTTACATTGTGATTGGCAATTATTGTGCCCTCTTATCCTTCCCCCACTCCCCACCCCCTGCACCTACCCCTCCCCTTTGGTGACCACTAGTCCCGTCTCAGTGTCTGTGAGTCCTGCTTTCTTTTGCGTGCCGCAAGTGGAATTGCTGGATTCCACCCTAAAGTGGAATTGCTCACCTCTGAGGAATGACTAACCCATAAATGTATTTTGAATTTAGTAATTCAACATTGGGGCCCCAGACACAAAGTGGGGACTTCTTCTCAAAACCTTTGTGTGTCGTTTGGAACCACGTGAGTGAATTACAAATTTAAAAATAAGGAAATAGTTTTTTTTAATGTTAAAACAAAAAGAATGGTGGTACAAGGATATTTTTTGGAGCCACTGAAAGCACAATATTGGTAACCACAGGATTGTCCATGTATAGGAAAAGGGACAAATTCTAGCCCATTCATGTGTAAAATACTACATGATACAGCAGTGAAATGCCATGAAATACAGTGACTCACATCAGTGTGGATGAAATTCATGAACAGAAATGTGGGCATAATGTGATTCAAAGAAATAGATGGGTTCCCCCATGCTTTCTTGTATGACTTCAATTTTCACACTTACGCATATGAAAAATTTCTCATAGCATGAGAAAATGCTAAATGTCAACTACATAGGACACGACACAAAACTGTGTGTTCAGGAAGATGTCACATATTGAGAGAGATGTGGACACAGCCAACAAGTTACAGAGTCCAGTGGAGGCGTAGGATTACGTAACGTTCAGGCACAGGCTCTCCCTTGCCTCAGCTGTAACCCCTGCTGGGGACACCCTTCCCCTGACATCCATGTGCTTGGGAAAATGATCCCAGGCCACTTAATCACAAATGGCATCTCAGCTGCCTGCTTTGCACTGTCCCTATCACGTCATTGTCGACCACACTATATTTTTCTTATTTATTCTTTTCCTCGGCTGTCTTCCTGTCCAGAGCATCTATGCCACAGGGGCAGATTTACCCACTCTCTTCTCTGCTGTGTTCCTAGAACCTAGAGCAGGGCTGGCTACACCGTAGGTGTTCAAGAAATGTGTATCCACTAAATGGCAGGTAGCCTTCTTCATTCTTCATTGCTTAGGTGGTAGGAATGGACAACACCAGCTTCCAGACAGCCGCTCCCTCGGAGGATGGAAATGTGGAGTGAAAAGCAGAAATTCACTATGGTATTTTGTGTCTTATTTTTCTACCAAAGTGGATAGCACAGGTGATTTTTTTTCTTTCTTTTCTTTATTTTAGTAAAATATACATCATGTAAAACCTTCCATTTTAACCATTCCTGGGTGCACGGCTAAGTGGCATTACGCGCATTCCCACGGCCGTGCAACTGCCCCCACCACCCATCTCCAGAACCTTCTCATCCTCCTAAGTGAAACCTGTCCCTGTGGGACACTCCCCACCCCCTCCCCCAGTCCCCGGCCCCTCCAACCCGCTTTCTGCCTCCCTGAATCTGAGTCCTCTGAGGATCTCCTAGGAGTGGGATCAGACAGGATCTGTCCTTGTCTGGCTTCTTGCTCTTAACATAATTCTTTCAAGGTTCATTCACATTATAGCAGGTGTCAGAGCTTCACTTCATTTTTTTTCCCCCAGATTTTTTTTTATTATCAAATGTGGTTCAACTAACTATTCCATTCCCCCTCCCCCGCCCCCACCCACTACCCTCCCCCTTGGTAACCTCTAGATGCTGCTCTGCGTCTATGAGTCTAATGCTGTTCTGTTCCTCCTGTTTTGCTTTGTTTTTATGCTCCACGGGTAAGTGAAATCATATGGTATTTGTCTTTCTCCACCTGGCTTATTTCACTAAACCTAATACCCTCTAGATGCATCCATGTGGCTGCAAATGACAGGATTTCTTTCCCCTTGTTTAGCTGAATAATATTGCATTGTGTATATGTGCCACATCTTC